ATATTCTCATCCCTACTTAGCACGAGGCCTTTTGGGAGCTCACTGGCTTCGGGTTCCGTAGGAACTCCGAAGTTAAGCGAGAAGGGGGCTAGAGCAATCCCATGATGGGTGACCCACTGGGAAGTTACTCGTGAGTTCCCAAAAACAAAACCGTGAGGGAATGGTAAGCCCAAAGCGGACAATATCGTGCTACGGTGGTGGAGCGGGCCCAGGAAGTGATCCGCCCCGGGCCGGGATGTGACAGTCAGACTATTTTTGTAGCTTTTTTTTTTTTTTTTTTTTTTTTTTTTTTTAAATTTTAAATAAACGATATTATTTATATTAAGAAAGTAATAATTTTGTAGCTTAACTATCTTCTCGCACGTAGTGGTAAGAAAGAACAAATATTGCTAAAATTTGGTTGTCAAACTACTATTATAGCCTACTTTATTCTCGTTTAGAGTGAGTAGAAGGTACCAATCCTAAGAGCATCTCCATCCAATGGGGGATGCAAAGCGTCTTGAAATGAGCATTTTAATTTTTCATTTATTGGCCATAAGGGCATCTACAACCTTACTTCAAAACATCAATTTGAATTACAAACTTCCTCTAACCCTACTATAAAACACAATTCTCAAAATGTTTTTTCTAGAGTTTCAAATCTTTTACTACATATATATATGGAGTATGAAGAACCATACTCTAGAATTTAGAGTATGTACTTTATTAGTTTATTTCTCATATAATGGATGTACTACCCCTTTTTGTTAATACTAAAGGAATTTTATTTCCTTTCATATCCTTTTCACATTTTAGCTAAAAATAGTTATCCCGATTCCAATATTGACTATATAATAAATTTTTTTGTATTTTGATAGTTAATTGTATGAAGTTAGTGTTGGATGTATGCCTTAAAAGCAATCAAGATTAGTGTATTGGTTAAGGTAATACATGGATTAGCCCATAATATAATCATGGAGCAAGATTAGATTACCAATGAGATCTTATTGGTGAGTCCATGGATAATGTTTATACACATATTCAATGGGTAATCTATAAGGTAGTGTTTAAGAGACCCCTTTTATGAGTGTTTCTCAAATTATTAGGGATATACTTCCCATTGTATAATTCAGCCCAAGCCCACATCGTCTTAATGTAAATATATTTATAAACAAAACGACTTAGAGAAATGCTTCAAAAGCCTTCAGTTTTAATTGTTGTTTTAGAAGTATAGATTCTAAGCGAATTAATAAGAGAAAGGGTCAAATCTTGACCATGGTTAGGGCAACAAATAACAACAGTTTTATTAACAAGGGTTAACAATTTTATTGAACTAAAGCAACAAGTGTCTGAAATTTCAGTTCTAGCCTAAACCCCAAAAAGAATTGGCTTATTAGAGCTGGGATGGACGCAGCGACACTGCTTCTCCGGTGTGCACTGGCATGATTTGCATTTAGGGCAAATAAGCATGCAGTCATGATCATTATTGCAATAGGGTAAGAACTTCTTTGCTTCAGCATATTGCTACAGACCTGCCAACAATTTATTTACTGCTAACAAATAGAATATTTACGGTGCTGTTACAAATCAAATAGTTGGCATTATCTAGTAGGCTTTGTCATTTGTGCATGGTATCTTATATATGCTATAGGGTTTTCGACTGTTAAATGCTTAGTCAAAGATGCAATGACCAAAATCTAACGGCCAATAATTTCATAGTATAAAAATATACTCCGAAGCATAATAAAATTTTCGAGAAAAATAATAATTTACCAGATGCCATAACCATGAGCACAATCACCAAAAAAAGGTATTTTGGGTGAAGACCTGTGCATATCTTTTTGACTTTGCAATTAGGTAGCAGGAATGTCTAAAGATAGCTGTGGTGTTTGCAGCTGCTGCACTGAAGCACTTGGAACCCTAAACCCTGTAGCGTATATTTATACGGTGAAGCATGCATCAATACAGATAAAGGTGCATGAACAATGTCTTGTCCGTCTCAGCTTTTATAGTAAACACTTGTTATTCTCTATTTTTTTTGGGAAATGCTAATTAGGATGCAACGTAGGGGGACAAATCTGACCGGATCCTTTATGGATTCCAATAATTTGAGCCTAAGGATCAAATGATTCGGACGGTTGAAATTTAATCCAACAGCTACAAACAGGGAGCTCCTCTAAAAGTTATAATAATTGTAGCTGTTGGATCAAATTTCAATAGTTTGGATCAAATGATCATTGAACTCAAATTATTAGGATCCGGAGAGAATCTGGTTCCGGACAAATTGACTTATATAGTAAACACTTGTCATGCTCATTACTCACAATATCCCTCATTTGATTTATGCATTCAATTGATTTCCATATATATTTTTGACGTAATTTTTATTTTTTGTAATAAAAAGATGCTTTATAATTTCTTACTTTGGTCAATAAGATTTGAAATTGATAAAAGTGGTCTTTGAATTTGTCCATCATTAATCATTTTGATCCATCCTTGAAAATTAAATACGGATAAAATGACAAAATAGTCTCCATTTTTATTGAATCATTTTGGCTCATTGTTTGTTAAATTGAGGGTATTTTTTTTTTCTTTTCGGTCCTTATTTCACAAAATTTTTCACGAATGACCAAAGTGATAATGACACACCCCGAACGGGTGTGTCAGATAATTTATATTAATCTTAGAAACCATTTTGACTAAAAAATCTATTTTTTATAACAAAAGATGCTTATAATTTATCACTCCTATCATGTTATATTTTGTGTATATAGTTATATTTCTTCGTACCTACAACAAGTAAGAGTATCCCCAATGGGCATATTTCTAAAAAAAAAAAAAGGCAACTCCAGTCATGCTCTGTATTTATCTCATCTATATGACAGGAATTTATCGAGAAGTTCCTCAATGTAATGGATGGAAAGGGAGAAGGGAGATTCTGTAGTGACTATCTATAATTAATGCTAACATTTTAATTTTATTTTAAATAAGTTATTATTTAACACATTGACTAATTATTGACTCGTAGTCATTATAACTCTCTTAAAGTCGGGAGTAGGGTTGAAGTAACAACTTTTTAAAGAGCTCACTTTTTGATAGTTTTAGCTAACACTTTGTTATAAAATAGAGAGTGTGATTGAAGATGGTCTAACTAGGTCTTCGAAGCAAAAATCGAAATTCTATTATTGGAAAGGAGAAAGTCATCTAGTATAGAGTAAACACTAAAAACAAACGTGAGGGAGCGTGTGAGAATGTGAAGACAAAAGTCTCACATCGATGAGAGACCAAACAACGCAAGGCTTATAAGAGGTTGAACTATTATCTATATTGTCAATTGATTTTATACTGTAACCTTAACTTTCTTCAACCATGACATACGGCTAGGCGTCTCTTACGGTCTATGAAATCCTCGAAGACAATCATTGTTGTCTTCACAAAGTGGATTAAAAATCAAGTCTTGAATCCGGCGAAAGAATTAGAAGACAACCCATGTCGTCCGAACTTTCAGTTCCTCGCCAGAATTAAAGAAATTGGGATCAGCGGCTCGGACTCGGATTCGAAGCAAAAACACTGCCTATTCAAGCACCGGCAAGTAGTTCTGCACATTTGTCACCAATTTAAGCAGACTTGATTTGATTTGCGGTAAGGATCCTGTACGTTCCTTGCTTCAGCACATAGCTCCAGATCTGCATGCCAAACAGTTTATTTATTTGTAATTTATTTTTTTTAACAAATGTATGCATTCCCAAATAAATAATGAGAGGATTATGAGTTATAATATTTTACCAGATGCAATAACCATGAGTACAACCAAAAAATCCAGTTTTGACGAGGACTTGTCCATGTCTTTTGAGTTAGAAATTTAGGAGACTAATGCATAAGATGGTTATGTTTTACTGCTGCACTCAAGTACTTAGAAGAATCCTTGTAATATTACATTATATAGGTAAAGCAAATAGCCAAACAAGTTAAGAAATTTAAGTCTACGGATTGTAATCCTTCTCAAATTAAAAGAAAAATGAGATAATAATTAAGAAATTTAATACGTACATAGAAACATGGATCTTTTCTCTTTTGGAAGTAACAAAAAAATGCTGAATATGCATCTTCTTGGATTATTGTGTTGGATTAGATAATAAACATAAATATAAACATAATAAACATAATAAATCTGGACGTGATAAACATAATAAACATAATAAACGTGATAAACATAATAAACATAATACTGTTGCATTGTGTGTTTTCTTGACAGACAAATGTGGACGACGACCACTTGGAATGGTGAGAACGGCAAACAATCCAACTTTTCGATGTTGAATATCAACAAGTCCGCAACAAAGTTGTGAAATGTTTGCAGGTTTCTGCTGCCGGAATGTGCTACAGTTTGTTTCTTGTGGGCTTGGCATTTTTGTTTTCGGGTTTCTCCCCAGCAAAACTTTGATACTTCTCTTGTTTGATTTGCTGTTTGCTGTGAAAATAGACGGTCGTGCTTTGAAGTACATTTTTTCGTTATGGCCGACCTTGGCCTGTGGAAGAAACTTACTCCAGTTGCTCATCGTCATGCTGGTACAATATGGCGGATCACATCTTCCATCCCCTTTCGTTATGCTTGTAAGAAGTTATTTGAGTAGTATTTGAACTGATTGGTGCTGCATTCAGGGTTATGGTTCAACATACTTGCTCGCAATGTCAGGACTATCATGGGTTATTATGTCAGAGGTGTATCCCTACCGATTTATTATCCGAAACTTGACAGAAAATCGATTTTTATGACGAAGATTCAATGAGTTTCTTTTCAGATATTCTCAGTAAACACTAAAGGTTCGGCCAGAAGCCTGTTAAGTTTGGTGTACCGGTCTTGCCCTTGGGTAACAACATACACCTCCAATTTTATGATGGATTGGAGCTCGGCATCCTTCCTCTCTTCCCTGCCCTTTCGGTATTCTTAAATGTTCAAACGATTTCAGGAAAGTTTTTATTCTACTCAAAGCTGGTGCCGGAGACCAAGGAGAGAACCCTAGAAGAAATACAAGCATCAATTGCCCATTTCGTTTAAATATCAGTAGAATTTCAGTCATTTGAACGTGCCATTTTGTCGATAATGTCGATCATGTATTGATAACAGATACCCGAAAAAAAATATGACTCATTATCAAAAGTACGCCTTTTTCTCTTCAAAACTATACACAAAACTTCCTTTTGTATGACGACAGAAAATCGAAAATCTATATACAGTGCCCCTCTTCATCAGCCTTGCACTGCAAGGACCTGCAAGTGATCTAAAAATACTTGCAAGCTCAGATCATCAGTGAAAATAATATCTGAGCCGTCAGTGTATGTTGAATTCTGAGTAACAGATGGATTCAACTTTGCAAGAAGAAACCTTGCCTGGCTACCATGCTGGTCACATTTAATAAACTTTGGTGCAGGAACTCGGTCAGCCATCAACTGCTCTGCATCAATTTCCGGGGCTTCCAACAGCTTCCTCAAATTCTCATGGTTTGGGTCCTTGTCATACCCAAGCTTCCTCCACTGAGAAACTTTGGACCCGTAATGAATAACCACGTGAAAATATGAGTCAAAGAGCAAGATAACATCTGGAGAGATGGAGCGGACATCTAGGAGGACTGGAACAGGTGGACCATCAAAGGAGTATTGGAAAAGCGTGGGTTGGATCATGATAAGAGAACCCACCACCCCCTCGCGATTCAGCATCAGCTGGAAGAAAGCAGTCTCATCAGGACTACTGTTGAAGACATCAATAAACTGCGACCTCCTCAAGTAATACATGAACTGAGGAAAGAGGGAGAAGTTGGATGACAAGCGGAAGGAAGTTGGATCTTCCTCTGCATAGTCTCCAAACTTGGAAGCAAAGCGGATCAATTTGTCATCCAACCATCTGATAACATCTCGAGCGAAACAATTCTCAGCTCGGTGAATAGCAAGCCTGGCTATCACTGAAGCTGCTGCCTCTTGATCAAACCCAGCAGCAATTTCTGGTGAACGGCCTCCAACCCATCTTCTTGCTGCAGTTGTTACCCTTTTCCGGATTCTCATGTTCCCATGACGGTATCGTGTTATGAACTGTATCAAAAATGCCGACCCAGGTTGAACTTTCTGCTCATCATTCACTTGGAATAAAAAAGCAATGCATGTTTTATTGGTGATTGTACCCAACTTCCACATATAGGTACCACCCTCCCCAATCTCACTGCTACTCACTAAATCGTTGACTTCACGAAGAGATACACAAGGACCTAGGGCTCCACAGATTTTAATATCTTTAGTGGTCACTATCTCAATAGTTGCATCAAAATACATCTTCAAATATCCCCCTTCATCACGAGTAAAAATGTGGCTCAGACATTTTCTGAATTGATTTGAAGCAAATGACTCACCTAGCAACATGAAACCACCTGACTTCTCAACAGGGACCTTCAGCTCTGCAGTTCCAGTTTGATCAAGAGAACAAGCAAACATATCGAGAACAATAGATGCATCACTTAACCTCTGCGACACTTGCCTATAAAAGCTGGAAGATCTACTATAGTAAGGGGTATGACCACTGATGAGGTCTCGGTGAGTTCTGATGGACTTGCTAAGATCTGAATTGACGATTATTCCTGGGCCCAAAGTTGCAGGTCCAGATGTGAATACCATGATCCTGGAACCCGTGCTCCCTGAACATCCTTCCAGAAGTCCAAGTGCAGCTACTATTGCTGCTCCTGTACACCTTCGCGGGCGATGACCGGACTTGACTTGAAGTGAACAATGGATCTCTTCAATTGCAGTTGTGATGTTGAACTCACATTCAGAAACAGGTAGCAAAAAGCCCTGCTTTTGATTAACTGACATCTTTCCGAGTTGCTGATGCTTTGTTCGCTTAATGCCCAGAAATCGTTGGACCTATAAGTTAAAAAAAAAATGTAAAGCATTAAATTCCGGTACAGGATGAGTTAAAATTTAATTGCATTCACTGAGAAAACTCAGAAATTCAAATCAACGTACGGAACATTCTCTAAGGAATGAGAAGCGCAAAAGTTATACAGATCAATCGGCAACGAAAAATCTGGACCTGAGTTAGTATACTTGCTTGCTTTCAACCTCTGAGCAAACTAAGAGGCTAATACTTAAAGGGGGAGAGCATTTCTAGTGTCTAGAAGACCCGAAAAGCACTGAGATTTCTTCAAATATCAAAATGGATGAAGTCATAAAACTACTACTTCAGAGTTCAGACTATCAAATTCAAATGGACTGCTTCAAAATATAAACTCCAAATTGATTGTCTTCTAAACTTCCTAAAGCAACTCGTTCATAACCAAGAATTTACTAATAAGTAAAAACATGAAAAATGTTACGCATTCCTACTTCAACACACCAAAATACAGCAAATTTAAACTCAAAGATTGTAAATTTACAAAAAAATGTAACACAATTCTACTTCATAACCAAGAAAGCCAATTTATAAACACGAAAAATGTAACACATACTTCGACACGCAAAAATTTAAACTTCAAATGGTTAAACTTCTCCTAAACTACCCAAAGAAACTCATTGATATAAAAAATAGTTGCTAATAAGTAAAAAACACGAAAAAGGCAACATCTTTCACTTCAACACACCAAAAATTATGGCAAGCAATGAAGAAAACCAGCTACCTGAAGCGATGACAGCTCCCTTTCGCCGTGAAACACCACGGCCCTCGAGCACTCCGAAAACCCGAGATCATGAACCCAAACCATCGAATCAAACGTGACCAGACCCACCAAAGCAGTCTCCGGAAGCTTTTCCACAACAAGCAAGAGCTCATTTTTCAGAACCCTAAGCTCGTCCACAGGCGTGCAAGCGTCTACAACGAACACGAACGCCGGCCTCACCCCTCTCGAATCCCCATCCGACACCGAGGCCGCCGACGACGAATCCATAGACGACAAGGACGACGATGACGACAAACCATTTGCCCAATTCAGGGAATTCGAGCCGGAACTGGGAATTCCGTGGGCGGTTTTGGCGTACTCAACGGCGCTCTAAGTCGGGAAAAGCTCGGCTGGGAGGTTGGTGTCGCCGATGTTGGAGTAAGAGTGAGGGAAGGAGTTCTTGTGGTGGCAGAAGGAGCAGAACCAGATGCGAGAAGGGTATTCGACGCGGGCGTAGGGGTTCAAAACGGCGCCACATCGGAGGCATGTGACGGGGTCGTAGGGGAGTATCGGGAGCTCGGCCTGCTGCATCAGCGGCGTGCACATGATGCTGAGAGGGATGACGAGGGCGGTGCTCTCGGATTTTGACGGCGGCCATGAATTCCAGGACCATCGGAGGCCCTCGATCGCCTCCAGTTCCACGAAATCCATGGCGGAGATTCGATCAGTGTTCGGTAAAGTTTGAGTCTTTCTGTTTCATCGGCTTGGATTAGCCGTGGGTGTGAAGAGACGGGGGGCAGAGATAGAGAGTGTTTCGTTCAAAGTATCACGTGCTTGTCACGTGACGATAAAAGGACTACATACAGACATTACATGGAGTACAGAGTGGGGAGTGGAATAGAAGGATAACTGCATTTTGAGGGTTTATAAACTTTATAGTGATTTTGAAAATAACAGCGTATCACTTGGGAAGCGATTTCCACGCACCGTTTTTAATTTCTAAAAGTTTATTTGAAAGTGTTTTTAAAATAACTGAAAACGTATTTGATTAAATGTTTTTTAAAACCAATTATTTATAAAACGCAAGTGAATCATGGAAAAGCACTTAAAGTGCTTTCTTCTTCCGGGAATGATGAAAATCCAATGCTGATGTCTTGTACTTCTTATCTCTTACAGGTACCTTCAGCAGGAACATGCTTAGGTTGCCTCCTCGTCGGGTTGTCATTCTCGTTGCAGGTTTCCCCTTGAACAAAATCTAATCCACTTTCAGCTTCTTATTGTCTTTTGTAAATTGTCTTGAAAGAATGAAGTCTACCATGTGTGGAACCTTCAACAGTGAAAGCAGATTACTTCCATTGTGGCACTTGTCGGCGTTTTGGTAAATCTGACATAACTTGAATTTCAAGACTTGTTTTTCTTTCTGATATATGCCAATAGGCAATAGCGACTAACAGTATCTCTCAACCTATGTGAAACCTACGATCAGGTATTTACTGGATCGTTCTCGTTGAGCATGGGAGGCACTGATTGGGTTATAATGTCAGAGGTAGGTTATACTTAACAAGCATGACCTCGACAATTGATAGAAATGTTCGAAATTCAGTTCAGTCACGTACAATTTGATATACCGCATTTCTAACTAATTTAGCCTAATTTTTTCAGATATTTCTCATAAACATGAAGGGGTCAGCCGGTAGCCTAATAACACTGGTTAGCTGGTTAGGTTCTTGGATCGTCTCATACGCTTTTACTTTCCTAATGGATTGTAACCATTCTGTTTGTTGCAAAGTTGGTACCAGAGACGGAGGCAAACACTAGAAAAAATACAAACATCAATGAATCGGTTTTTAGAAAAAAGATGAACGGTGCACCTGCATTGCGACATTGTTAATCCATTTTCATATGTGGATTGATTGCACATTGCAGCATTGCAGACTGAAGCATATTCTGAATGTCAGCAAACTTTGCAATTCAAGGTTCTACTGTAGCTCCTCCTATCCATGAGACTACTTATCACAATTTTCTTTGTATTAAACCCTGTTGGTGATTAGCAAACGAAGGAGAGAAGCATCTCCCAAATGTTCAAAATGATAGTTCTAATTCCTAAAGATTAGCAATATATAATACGTTAATGGCATGTTTACTAATATGTAACTGAGATTGGAGTAATTGACTTGAGGAAGAGTTGGGTTGAGGAGGAGGCCAAATCTGATTTCTCTTTAAAGTTGTTTTATTAAACTGTATAGAATCAGAACGGAAATCACTTTTGTTACCTCAAGCTAGAGATAAATGACCTATAAAATCTTCAATGATGAATGTTGATGGTGCGAAACTCTTGGAAGATAAGTAAGTTCTAGCTAGTGTCAAGATTTCAAAGTCAGGCCAGCAGTCACTACTAATCACATTGATATTATTTTAACCTAACCACATGCATAGCCCGATAGTTATTGACTTTTTAAAAGTGAAACAGTTCAATATAAGTTGTAATTCTACCAAGCTTTTGATGTAGCTAGGATTGCATTCTTTCAAACAGCTAGCTAGTGAGTTAATTTTCTGGTCAAATTAGGTAACTAGCTAGCAAATGGTTGCATAAATCATATGTCATCATGTTTCTTATGGCCTAGAAATTAGTCCATTGTTGGTGTCCCTTACGCTATCCCTCTCTCAAAACACAATCCACATGATTTACATACATCACCATTCTGAGGTAAACAACCTAAACTCCAATGTCCTCATTGTCTATAAAGCATTGCCTTTTATCACCTCCAACAGAAAGCGAATTAATATAACCGAACTCCCTTCTTCTTTCTCTACATGGCTGAGGTACTATCTTCCGAGCAACCACGCCCACCGCCTTCCCCTCCCACCATATTCAAGCACAGCTTGAACCAGTACTCCGTCCACCAAACCCTAGCCAGTGCAGCCAACCTCGCTAACCTTCTACCTACCAGCACAGTCCTCGCATTTCACACCCTCATCCCTACTTTCTCCAACAATGGTTCTTGCCAACTTTTCAATAAGTACCTGACAACATGTGTCATTACATTTTGTGCTCTCCTTTGTTTCTTATCTTCGTTTTCCGATAGCTTCATGGACAACGACCGAAAACTCCACTATGGAATCGCCACGTTCAAAGGCATGTACATTTTCAACTGCAGTAACGCCGAGGACATGGATAGGGACTTGAAGAAGTATAAAATAAAGTTCATAGATTTTGTTCACGCCTTTATGTCACTATTTGTGTTCTTGGTCTTTGCTCTTAGCAACTCCAATGTGCAAAGCTGCTTCTTTTCTGAAGCGGGAATAAGTGAACTAACAATGAATTTGCCTCTTGGAGCTGGGATTTTGTCGAGCTTCTTGTTCACAATCTTTCCGACTACTCGTAGAGGGATCGGATACGCAGACATGGTGCCTCGGGCATTATAGTGTTATGTAACAGTCCTTTATAAAACTTACATACATGTACATGTGAAATACAAAATAAATTAGAATTGACTGATGCAGATTAGTTGTTGATTTGTTTTCCTTAATAGCATCTCAAAATATGTCAGATTAATGTCACCTGAACATAAAATGAAAGGGGAGCGAGACAATTGCTCAAATCAAGTCATCAAACCCTACAAGCTCTTAATTTCTTTTTCTTTTTAATAGGATGATATATTCGCGTCGAAGAGCGAGAGGTTTAGGCGAAACTACACAATGAAAAATTTATATAAACCGATGTTTGAGTTTAATTTTAATAAATTAGTAACAAACTTATATTGTCTTTGGGAGTCAAATTTAAAATGAAATATCAATAGATAATAGGACCAAAAATACAAGCTATCATCTCATAAAGCTTTACACAATCTTCTTTACAAGTTAAAATATTTGCTTAATGTCTAACTGCCAAATTAGTCATCAGATCCAAAACCTACTGATGATGGTTTAAGATATTACAAATTAAGCATAAATTCTATTACTTGGGATTTTTTTTAAACATTTAGGAATGGAAATAGTCTTCAGAAAATGGAAAAGAAAAACTGAAAGAAAATAGCTTTCATTTCTTCAAAAATAACAAATTTATTACTCTCCACTGCCAACACCAAATCTAGTAAAAACCAGAAACCAACATCATCTTTCAACCAGTGAAGCCAGCAATTGTAGCATGAGGCTCACAAGTGCTAGCAGCAGGAGTAGGCTCCATATCAGGAGTAGGCTTCACATACTTTCCAAGAAGCTCTTCCGGCAAGTTCTTAATACCCTTAAAATGTGTAAAAATTCACAAAAGGGTACACAAGCTGCTGCCTGCAACTTTACTTGCCATTTTCTAAGAAATCAGATATCAAATTGCAATTGGAAAGCCCAGATTTATGGCTGGTCGTTGGGCATGTCTCATGTCTAGGGTGCAACTTAGACGGGTTAGGTAGGCTAGATGGTCAACTTAATCCTAACCTAATTTTCAAAAGTTGGGTTTGTATTGGGTTCGGGTTCATGTGGGTTTAGTCATGTTTGGATTTTAATTAGGTTCGGGATTATTCATGGTGGGTTAGAGATTATTTGAGTTTGGTTCATGTTCGTCCAACTTATCAAGTTCAATCTTATAACACTTTATTTTACATGGTTTTCAAATTTTGAATCAAACCTCATTATTAATTAAAATTCTATTTACACATCACCATCCACACAAAAGTTAAAGCAAACAACTTTGCATATACCAAAACCTCAACCAAAATAAATGTAAATGTAATACTATCATTCATTATTCAATGAAAATTGACAACGAACTTCAAGTATAGTCATTTCAAAAGTTATACATATAATAATTTTTATAATATGAAGTGAGATGGGTATGAGCATGAGCAAATTTGGGCTCAAAATCATATTGGATTTGAGCTGATATCGTCAGCAAGGCAACCTAACCCAACCCAAAATAATGATTGGGTTAATGTTGGGTTGGTTTTGGGCGGATTTTTTTCTTCATTCTAACTCGCCTGACCGTGTTTAAAATTGAATAAGGTATGGGTGGATTCGAGTTGACCCAACCAACTTGCACCAATGCACCCTCCCCCTCCTCCTAATCTTAATATACAAAGCCAACAACCCCTTTTGGGGTCGTCACAAGTTTCACCAAAAAAGTTAAGATAAAAATGCCCCCAAAACAAAAAATTTCAAAAGCAACCCAAAATAATGCAGGGGTATTTTTCGTCATTTTAACAGTGTTTTTTTAATAATTAATTATTTTTGTATAGTTTAAAATAAAAAAAAAAATTAATACCTCACAATAGGCTAGCAATAATGTGATTCAATCAGTTATTCATTAAATATTATTTTCTCTATTTTTAAACATGTTCAAAATATCTTACAAGGCGTGTAATGCCAGTTATAAAAAATATATTTCACACGCGCATAATAATGTGATAAATTAGTTGTCAAATAACTGTTTTATTTTTTTATTTAAAACAAACGATATTATCTATAATAAAGGGGAGAGAGGTGGCCTTAGCCTCTCAATGAGTTAGTAATAATGTGATTCAATCAGTTGTTTACTAAATATTATTTTCTCTATTCTTAATGTAAATTCAATAGAATGTGGATGAAAATTGAAAGACTGATTTTATTATGTGAATTCAGCTGCTTTGATTAGTTTGTGAGGTGTTTTTTCTAGCATGATCTAAGATTATTCATTTACTTCAAATATTTGACTTTCCTATTGTCAATTCACGCATATAAATACATTTAAAACGTGTAAGTTACACGTAGCACGCCGTGATTTAAAAAATGTCTTCTATAAACACGTGAGTGCATGCATAAAGGTTAGTAATATTAAAAAGAAGGAGGGTGCTTGCTTATGCGTAAAAAGAAAAACAAGAGAATTGGCCCTATTGGGGGACTATGACACGTGGTTCTCCCTAAGTGGTCCACGTAAGTCGGTTAGTATCCTTTTTTATAAACCGGATCCCCTCCGGATCCTTGTAAACTAAGCCTCCTAACCAAGGGATCCGGATTATTGCAATTTGATCAAACGACTACAATTATTATAACTTTTAGAGGAGCCCCCTGTTTGTAGCCGTTGGATCAAATTTCAATGGCCAAGATCCCTTGGTCATGAGGCTCAGTTTCAAAGGGTCCGGAAGGGATCCGGTTCCCCTTTTCTAAACAATTAATCAGGTTTTTTTTTTAAACCTTGAGAAGATTATGTCCTCAGTAATTATATTTAAAAAGCTATTTTCAATTACCAAATTAAAAGTCCCTCACACTTTTTACAAACCTACAATAATTAAATGTAGCTCTCCATCCAATTTCTTTAGCTTGGGTGTCATCTTGGACAAATTTTTCCTTATGCTCGTAACACAAGAGGTACACCACGTGTTATTATCTAAGTGGTGGGAAATTTTATTTTTTATGTTATTAATTTTTTAACACAAGAATCTCACCACTTGTATAGAGACACGTAGTGTACCATCCCGTGTTCTGACACACTGAAAAATCCCTCGTCATCTTGATTACTATTAGGAAACAACACTACAAAAATAAATTTGGAAATGTAATTCAATTTGAAGTCTTTCTCTTATTCTAAGTAAAATAAAAAATAAAAAATCTCTCAATGATAGCTATCGACGGGGAGAAAAAAGAGTGGAAAGGGGAGGCGGGAGGCGGGAGGCAGGAGGCGGGAGATGGGAGGGGTGTGGAGGGTACTCGCGCTCAGCGCATGTGGTGTTTTTTATGTTTTTTTAATTCTTTTGTTCTTGTCATTAAGTAAAGTTAGTCGATAATTTTTTATTAAAATGTAAAGATTTGAAACCCTTTTTATTAGTTTTTTCAAAATGAAATTGCAAATTGGCATTGTTGAACGCTTCATATACACGTTTTTTATGTATTGTGAAATTTGTTTAATGAATATTATTGAGTAGATCGAAGGGTCAATGGGAGTTGTTAGATTTGAAAGCTTAGTGGTACTTTCTTAAACCTACTACGCGCTCAGTACAGATTCCTTCAATTATTAAAAACTTAAGTTTCCAACTTATGTGAATAGAGAAAACATATTTCGCCAGCACTGATGGAAGAAGCTACCAATAATTATAGTCCACTGCTAATTTAAAATTTTCGTTGAGCTTGAAATAATTTGATAGGTAGGTGGAATCATTATAATTAAATACCAAATTGCCAATTGGTTATGAAACCTTATTTTTGATCTACAAATCTGCAGTAGGACTAATTCTTCAATCCTATTTCTTCTTGCTTCCTTAGCTATCTCTGCATTCATACCTTTTCGCGCTAAGTATGGAGGCTGTTAAGGCGTTCGAAGTTTATACTTTCCCTGTGGAGGGAATACTGAACAAGTTGGCTTTACTTGCTGCTCAAGAATTCAGTCTTTTCTGGGGATTCAGAAAAGAACTAGCAAAGTTTCGTCAATCAATACGTGCGATTCAAGAGTTCTTGGGCGATGTCACAAGCCAACCACAGCAGGATCGGGGCATGGCAGTCAGAGACTGGTTGAAGAAACTTGAAGAGGTGGCTCGTGACGCTGACAATGTCTTCGACGAAATCAATTATGACGATGTCCGGAGCAAAGTAGAATTTCAAAACCAAGTCAAGAAAAAGGTACTCAACTTCCTTTCACGCTCAAATCCTATCTTATTTCGTCAACAAATGGCACACAAAATAAAGAACATCAATGCAACTCTATCGGATCTCAAGAGCGAGGCATCTTTCATTGGGTTAGTTGCAAGAAGAATAGATTCTACATTATCCCCACAAGGCATGGGGAACAGAGAAACCGTCTCAAGCTTTGATCATGATGAAAAGATCTTTGGTAGGGACGAGATTGTGTCTGGTATAATCGCAACCTTGATTGACTCCAACAATCGGGAAAAATACCTTTCGGTTATGGTGATTGTGGGAATGGCGGGACTCGGAAAGACAACTTTGGCTAAAGCAATATACAATGACAATCGTTACATTGACAAACATTTTGAAACCAAAATTTGGGTGTGTGTATCTACCACTTTCGACGTTAATTCAATTTTGAGACGGATTTTGGAATTACTTAACTCAACAAATACTGGACTAACAAGTCAGGAGGCATTGCTTCAAAACCTCCAAAAAGAGTTGATGGGGAAGAGATATATTCTCGTACTAGATGATGTGTGGAATGAAGATGATATGTTATGGAGCAGTTTGATGAGTTGTTTGTCAAAACTCAATTCTGCTCATGGAAGTGTCATGATTGTTACTACTCGCAGTGCCAAAGTTGCATCAATCGCAGAAACACTTCCGAGGTGTGACTTGGTGAATTTATCAGTAGAGGATTGTTGGTCCATATTAAAAGGTGAAGCTTTTCCATACGGATGTGCTCCTTTAGCTTCAATTCATGAGAGAATTGGAAGGGCAATTGCTGAAAAGTGTGCTGGTGTACCATTGGTGGCAAAGGTATGCACTAATATATTATATCTTTTACTATTTGTTTGTTATTAGTAACACCATATTTGGATGAGAAAATTTAAGCTTACTAGGAAATTCCAAAATGAATGAGATAGAAATGACGATTTTTTTTTTTTTAATTTGTGAATTTTTTTGTTTGATTAACTTAAAAGTACAACGAAATCTAAACGCTCTCTCCAAAATATACTTCTATTCTACTGCATTGTTAGTGAAACAATTTGCTCCCATTGTTTATTGCTTTTAATACTTTTGTTCTTAAAGAAAAATGTATCCAAACGCTCCCTCCAAAATATACTACCATTGTACTGCATTGTTACTAGCTATAAGAAAGTTAGTTAGAAGTTCTATTACACAAATGGAGTGGAAAATAAGGTCAAGGTTGATATATGGTCAAACTTCAGCTAAACTATTGATTTCTTTACTGTTGTATATGTTAACACTTCAACTTGTTGCATGGGCGGTATATATGTTTATAAAAATATATATAGAAATTTTAACTTATGCACCAACAGGTTTTGGGAAGCTTGATGCGATCTAAAAATAGTGCAGATGAATGGTTAATAATTCAAGAAAGTAAAATATGGGAATTACCTGAAGGAGAGGATAGAATCATGTCAGTTTTGAAGTTGAGTTTTGATAGTTTGAAATCACCATATTTGAAACAATGTTTTGCGTGTTGCTCAATGCTGGAAAAAGATTTTGAAATTGAAAGAGATGATTTAATTCAACTCTGGATGGCTCAAGGATTGCTCCACTCTCATGCTAATCTAGAGATGGAGGATATTGGTAATGAATATTTTAATAGTCTGTTGGAAAACTCATTTTTCCAAGATGTTATAAAGGACGACTGTGACTCTATCATCAAATGCAAGATGCATGATCTTGTGCATGATCTCGCAGAACTAGTGTCGAAATATGATGGGGAAGATAAACTTAAAATTCGAAGCAAGACAGAGATGTCGTCTCTAATACTAGGGCTGGGCAAACGGGGCCTGGACCCGCGGGTAGGGGCGGGTCCAAGCGATTCGGGGCGGGTATGGGGCGGGTACTGTTTTTAAAATTCTGAAACGGGGCGGGGCGGGTCGGGTCCATGTCATTTGCGGGGCGGGACGGGTCCTAATGGCTGAGAAAACGGGTCCCCGACCCGAACCGTTTCCACCTTCCAAAAATCCGTTGATTGAATCTGATCCGTTGATTATCTAATCACTCTGTCTCTGCCTGCCAGACTCCCACACCACACCCGCAGACAGTCGACTGACTCGACTCGACAACACCCCACTCCCCAAATCTCCTCTCCTCTCTCGTCTCAAACCTCGCTCGATCGTCTCAGAGTCAGACCTCACTCCCCAAATCTCCTCTCCTCTCTCGTCTCAGACCCCTACTGAGTACTGACTCGACTCCCTGAGACTCATAGTGAGTCAGTGACTGTCGACATCACCATCGCAGGATTGTCTCCTGAGTCCTGACTCTCCTTCAATCCTCCCAATCGCGAGTTCCGACCACCACCACACGGTCGACACCAACCTCGCCGTCGAGAACACTACCATCATCCTGCAAATTCCTAGGTAATTTATGAATTAGGGTTTCTGATTTGGGAATTTAGGGTTTTTGGGGCTATGATTGCATAAGCTTTTCGATTGATTATATTATGGACTGCTGCGATTTGATTACTAGCAGAAACTTGTTTATTGGTTTTGAATTTTATGGATCTGCTTATAGATTGTAGATTTTAAGTTGTTTGGTTAAATTTGCAGAAATTTAAGTTGTTTGTAGATGTTAAGTTGTTTGGTGGTTAAATACTTTGGTATTTAAATTTGCAGAAAATTTTCGAATTGTTACAATTTTTGAACTAAAATTGGTAATTGAATTTGAAGCTGCAATCTTAATGCATGCAAGCTGCAATCTTAATGCATGTAAGCTAAAATTGTTAATAGCTTCTTCTGGGTTTAAACTTTAAAGAGGTTGTTTTAGACATTTAATTTATGGGTTTTGTTGCTTTGTTTGTTAAGCATGAAGCTCAGAAGCTCTATTCCCAGAGTCTCTCTTTTAAGTTTTTCCTATTTCAATTTTTTTCTGTAGATTTGTTCGAATCTAGGTATCTATGGGTTTCATTAATATATTGGTTTTGGTTCTGTAATTTACTATAAAGAATATGATTTGGTTCATTAATATAGTTGGGTGCGAATCACATTTGGTTTTCTCATATATAAAGAATATGATTGTCACTTGCAGGCTCTATACGTTGTTGAAGAAGATTCTGAGTTCGATATTTTGTTGTGCATGTACGGTCCGAAACCAACAAGATTTTCAGTTTTGTGAAGGTCGGCTTTCTTGTGCATGTACATTTACTAACTGACTAATTATTTACTCTTAAATGTTATGCTAAGCAAGCATGCATTAGTTTCCTAAGCACCTTTGACTAGATCTCTATCTATTTTATACATTATTTTTTAAAACCTTGGTAACTACATTTGAAACAAAACAATCACCTTTAATGCTGTAAAATTATGTCCACTTCTTACGATATGAAATAGGAACTTCAAAATAATTATAAGCGACAAAGCAAGGGGCAATAATGGTTGGATGGTGCCAAATTAGTGTAACTGGGAGAAGGTGGCAGTGGGTCAAAGCATGATAATCTGACCACTTAGCTTAAAACACACATAATTTATTTATTTTACCCATTAAATCAGAACCTCAAAATGTAAAAGGGATGTTTTACCGACCTTCTTAGTTGGACATTCCCATCTTACTTTTTTCGTTTTGCATTCTTATCCTACAATACTGCACGATGATTAGAACATTCTACTTTCTACTTCGTCCCAAACTTTGCTGCATTAAGGACACTTCTGAATTCTGATTGCATTTTCAGATTTTCTTGCATTGTTGCATTTCCAAGAATATTATATGTATTTTCTTGATTGTTTGGGAATTGGTTTCAGATTCCGGAGCCACTTATTACTGAGAAAGTTTGGAAATTGAAAGATTTTGAATCATATCCTGCTTGCTTACTGGTGAGTTCTTGGTTTGGATGCATGTGGTGCAATGCATGGTTGTCATCTAGTATTTAAAAATGTATCATATTTTCTGATTTAATGGGATTAGAAGTTAGGACCTGTATGCAATGCAAGAATGAGAACCGAGGCCTTCTGCCTGCATATATATATATATATATATATAATATAATACATATACATATACATCTCACACACACACACACACAATAAGTACTTGGCCAATATTGCAGAAAACAGTTTCTTTAGCCTATGGAAAAGAGCATAGTTTCTTGAAACATTTTGGTAAAATGTCATGAATGGTGAGTGCATGAATGGTGAGTGCATCCATCAATGCCTCCCCCAAACCCCTCATCCTCTAGAAAAAGAAAAGCACCACCTATTCCAAAGACAAAGCAACCAACTATAATAGCTTCACTAGAGAGATCTTCTTCTGAGAGATCTTGGGTTTGGGATCATGTCACTAAGTGTACCGTCTCGGAAATACAAGAAGTAGAAAAGGATGGAAAGAAAGAGAAGGTGGAGGTACAAGTATTGAAGGCTAAGTGTAACCATTGTAACGCCCTTTTTGCATGTGATATTAGTGGGGGTGGAACTAGTACTTACATTAAACATATCAATAAACATTGCAAGTCATATAAACCAACTGATGAGTTGCAAAGCCAAAAGGTTCTAGGTAGTTCTGGACCTTCTGGGGATGTCAAAAACATGCTTGTTGCTAAAGGGTGGAGCCAAGAAGAAAGTGTGGAAGGTATTATTGAGTTTATTGTGATGGAGGAGGTACCTTTTAGTATTGTGGAGAGTGAAGGGTTTAGGCGGATGATGTGCAAAGTCCAGCCTAGATTGCATGTTCCATCTCGGAGAAGTATCGTAAGGGAGTTATTCAGTATGTATGATAGCATGAAAGATCAGTTAAAAAAGGAGATACACAATCATAGAGTGAGCTTGACTACCGATACATGGACAAGTGTGCAAAATTTGAACTACATGGTGCTAACTGCTCATTTTGTGGATGATGATTGGAATATGCACAAAAGGATTCTAAACTTTTGTTTGATTTCAAGTCATGAAGGCAAAGAAATAGGGAAGATGATTGAGCAATGTTTGGTTGAGTGGGGGATTGAAAAGGTAATGTGCATTTCAGTTGACAATGCATCGGCTAATAAGGTGGCAATTGAGTATGTTGTTCGTAAAATGCAGAAATGGCCTAATAGTAAAGTGATTATGAATGGCAAGTTTATGCATGTGAGGTGCTTAGCTCATATTATCAACTTGGTAGTGAAACATGGGTTGAAAAGATTAGAGACAAGTGTGGATGCTCTTAGAAATGCCGTGCGGTTTGTGAGATCAAGTCCCCGAAGGTTAAGTTATTTCAAGAAATGTGTGGAGAATGAGAAGTTGGATAGTAGGGGTCTAGTTGTTATGGATGTGCCTACTAGGTGGAATAGCACATACATGATGCTAGAATCTTGCTTGAAGTTTAAAAAAGCATTTGAAAGGATGATCGAAGATGATGAAGCCAATATATACACCACCTATTTCAGTGAAAAGGTGTTTAGTGATGAAGGAGAAGAAGTGGCGGGTAAAGGGAGGATTGGACCACCTAAGGAGGAAGATTGGGATAGTGCAGAAGTGTTTGTGAAATTTTTAAAGGTCTTCTATCTTGTAACTTTGAAAGTTAGTGCAACTAAGTATCCCACATCTAACACAGCTATTCATGATGTCATTGCTGTGGAAAACGAGATAGAAAAACTTTTTTTGCCTGAATATATGCAAACTGGAAGACCTGCAGAGTTGGTGCTACGTGATATGGCATTCAACATGAGAGCCAAATATCGAAAGTATTTTGGTTCAATTGAGTCCCTTAATCAAATATTTGTAATTGCCCTTGTCTTAGACCCAAGGTTCAAATTGAGGCACTACATGCACTTGTGTAGAAAGCAATTACAACTTCTTGAAGAAGAGATTGAACAAAAAAGTAATCAAGTGAAGACATTGTTGAAGACAATGTGTGATGAATATGCTAGTCAAGCTTTCGATTCACAAACACAACAAAAGGGTAGAGAAGATTTAGTTCTTGACACTTCTTCAAGGGTAAAACAATCTTCTAATGTGCCAACAGAAAATCCAATGATATTTAGTCAAATCATGGATGATTGGGAAAAGGAACTAGAAGACACCGAGGATATTGCGCTTGCACATGAGGTGGATAGGTATCTCCTTGACACTGTAGAGAAAGTATCACATGGTTCACAATTTGATGTTTTGAAATGGTGGAAGTTGAAAGGGAGGAGCACATATCCCACACTTGCTTTGATAGCGAAAGATGTCTTGCCAATTCAAGTGTCAACAGTTGCCAGTGAGAGTGCATTTAGTGGAGGAAAGAGAGTAATTGACCCTTGTAGATCATGTCTCCTTCCTCAAACAGTGGAGTCATTGATGTGCCTTCAAAATTGGATAAGAAGTGAACCAATTGGCAGCATTGAGTATGAAGCAAGTCCCGCGGAGCTTGAATTTTATCAAGAGTGTGAAGAAGGTAATTATCTTGTTTTTTATAGTTTGGTTTATAACTTTATATTAATTGGTTTACAATTAACAGTTGTTCTTTGTTGTAGAATATAAAAGAAAAAGAGCAAATACTATATCTACAAGTTCAACAATCTCATCAAGTGTTCCTGAAATTGAAACAACTCAAACGAATAAAGGAAAAGGAATTGCGGTAATATTTTAAACTCAAATGAATAAACTTTAAATTTTAATAATTCAATTTGAATGAGGATAGATAATATGATGTTGGACGTTAAAAATGTCATGTTTATATTCTATTTTTGTTTACAGATTCAATGAAGATTGTTGTTGGAACTTGGGCGTTGGAACTTGGATTTTCGGATATTTTGTATGTTGATTTAATTTTTAGATGTTGGAAGATGTAATATTATTATTTGGAATGTATTGTTAATCTATGAACTTGGATGTTGGACTTTGTATTTAGATTGGATGTTGGACTTTGTATTTAGTTCTGTACAATTTTTTTTTTCTTTCAAACAACCAAAAAAAAAAAAAAAAAAAAAAAAAAAAAAAAAAAAAAGACCCGGTGGACCCGGCCCGAACCGGCCCGTTTCAACCGGGCCGGGTAATGTCCGGTTCTTATATTTAAAATGTAATCCCCGGCCCGGCCCGGCCCGTTCCCTTTGAACTTAGGTCCGGTCCGGTCCCTTCAAAATTGGGCCCGGCCCGGCCCGTGCCCAGCCCTATCTAATACCAATAAGTTTAGGAAAAAATGCTGAGAAAGTGTCCTCTCTATTTTCACAGAGTGGAATCCCCGGCAACATCTTGTCAAGATTTAAGGGTTTACGTGTGTTAAAATTGTCCAAAACTTATGGTTCGGAGTTGCCCGGTTCAATTGGCGATCTAAGACACCTGAGATATCTAGACATTTCCAATACACCTATCCGAGCACTTCCCAGGTCTGTTGGGAAGCTCTATAACCTACAGACGTTGAGAATGTGTGATACAAAACATCTTCGAATATTTCCAAGGGAGCTGGAAAATTTGATAAACTTGAGACATGTTTATTTCGACAAATATAAGGAAGTCATTCCATTTGGGATTAGAAGCTTCACTCAACTGCAGAGACTACCTTCCTTTACTCTGGATAGGGCTAGAACTCGTGGAATTGATGAGCTAGGTGGCTTAAACCAATTGAAAGGAAATCTAACACTTACATGTTTGGAATATGTGAGGGACAAAGAGGAAGCAAAAAAATCAAATTTAGTGGGGAAAGCAAACATACGAGGGTTGACATTTGAATGGGGGAATTGTAGCAGGGGAAGAAATGAACACGACAATGATGTACTGGAAGGTCTCCAACTGCACCCCAAGTTAGAAATCTTAAGGATTGAGAACTTCATGGGTTTAAAATTTGCGTCATGGATGATAAGTGGTCTGTTGCCCCAAAATTTGCAAGAGATTTTGTTGTATGATTGCAGAGAATGTGAACAAGTCCCAACACTCGGTCATTTGCCACATCTTAGACATGTTGTGTTCCACAGCATGCATAACCTTAAATGTGTGGGAGCCGAGTTTTATGGTTATAACTATGTTAGTAGTGGAGCTACAACGACGACAAGGAATGAGACGGTGAGGAGGGTGACTCTGTTTCCAGCATTGAAAACCTTGCAAATGATTGATTGTCCAGTTCTAGTTGAATGGAATGAAGCAGTTGTTGCGATGCCAACGAATGAGAAAGTGGAGCTAGTAGTGTTTCCCTGCCTTGAGAAGTTGACTCTCGTGTCTTGCATGGAACTGCGAACTGCTCCAGGACACTTTCCATCTCTCCAAAAGTTGAATGTGTATAACGTTGACGACTTCATGGCAATAGAAAATTTAAGCAGTCAAGTGACCGCTCTCACTTCCCTTAGATTAGAATATCTCCAGGAGGTTACTTCTCTGCCAGTAGGGATATTGGAAAAGAACCAGAAGTTGCTAATAAGGGGTTGCCCTAATCTAACATCCATTCCAATTTCACGGTCACCGTCCCTGGTTGAATACCATTCATCTCTGCAGCAGTTGAGCATAGTTGATTGTCCAAAGCTAAGATGCATTTCAATACACAGTCTGACCTCCCTCCGCAAATTGGCTATTGAAAGATGTTCTCTTGAGTCAACGAATCTTCAGAGTGGACTGGAGGAGTTGTCCTTATACGGCTGCACATCCCTCCGTGAACTGAGAATCGAAGAATGCAATGGATTCACAAGTATACTGAGCGGGCTACAATCTTGTACTTCTCTTCGCTCTTTCTTTATCTCCAACTGTCAAAGTCTGAAACGTTTAGGGCGACAACACCCCGTCTCTCTTGAGCACCTGGTTATATCTGGTTGCCCTAATCTGCGGGCTATTCCAAGTTTAGACAACCTCACATCCCTGCGTTATTTGGAGATTGAAAAATGTGATGCATTAACAAGTCTGCCTAGCGGACTATCATCATGCACATCTCTTAGCCATTTTTCGGTCGAGTTTTGCGACAAATTAAAATCTATGGCAGATCAAGATGTATCTAGCTTGCAGTCTCTTTCATGTTTAGTAATATAAGAGTGTTTGAAATTACAATATTTGCCGAGGGGCCTACATTCTCTGCA